AGACGTAAATTAACTAATTTAATCTTCTGTATGTATCAAATAATACATGAAGAAATGTGCAAAAACATTTAGTTCGTCACTACCTTCAAAAGATGACTTTTGCAGTTCGTGCTCCATAACTTTAGTTGAAAGTTCGCCGTCCACTTCAGCTATTTTATATGTTAATTGTTGTATTATCTGTTTATCTGCAACTTTATGTATCTCGTAATCATTTACCTTGTCTTCTAGCTCTTTATTTCTTTCTTTATATGCTACAACTTTCTGAAATTAAAAAAATATATTATTGTCAATGCATACAATTTGAACAATAAATAAAAAAAAACGACTCGTTTGGTAAAAGATCTAATCAGGAATATTCAGGACACTATGAATAAGCAGTAGGAGCGAAGCAACGGAGTTTTTTATAATTTTGCACGTTTCGAAATATTAGCTTGAAATACTTTTTATATTTTACAAAAAGCTATTATTAAATTATTTTATAAATAACTTAAGAGTATAAAAATACTAAATTATTATCTAGGGTTACGTTCAAAAACCTTTATTCGATTTGCCATTACAAAATCTTTTCAAGCGTTACCGATCGGTTCCGATCAATCTCTCGTGTAAAATTTTCCCCAGAAAAATGTTTTGGGACATAACCAAAGACAGAATTACATTACTTACAACATCCAGCTTTCTCATGTTATCTAAGGCAGCCTTGTACTTCGATATCGTGTCCATGTCTTCTTTCTTCAAGTTTTCCAAATTCGATTTTAAATAATTAGTTTCCTTCATCTTTTCAGAATACTGGGTAATTAAATCACTGAAGCAGACGAAAATTCTATTAAACTTGTTTACGCTATCGATAGCATTATTCATATATATCGATACATATCTAAATTAATCTAATAAAACTCAAGAAACCCTTACTGTGTCTTGCACATTTTCCGTTTTAATAATAAAAGTGCCTTCATTCTCTTTTCCTTATCGTCCTCCTGAAAATCATTTCTTGATTAATTCGTATCCGTGTCGTATAACTGAAAAATCTTGCAAAGTTATCGAAAAAGATGTACGATAAACCCCACATAAACCCTTTCGCAATACGATTGCGCCTTAATCAACATAAAAATAAAGCGAAAGACAAAAAGAAGAGAGATGCAGCGATGTAATCACTATTGATTTTTTTTGTCAGCAAGAAAGAACAGAAACAATTCGAACTCGCGACTCGTGCTGCGCTCTCCGCATTTCGAATAAAATAAGTACGTAATTGGACATCGACGAGAAAGGGCGGAAAGATGAAAGATGCGTGATATTTAGCTGCAAAAAGGCAGATCGGCGGGATTACGAAACGCTCGCGCTACCGGCATGTCGGCGTGAGCTTTCCGGCTCCTCCGAGAAGTCTTAAAGGAACGGAATGTATGTATGGTTTACAAGCCTGACAAATGTAAACCCGACAGCCCGAGTCGGCGAGTACTTTCAAGAGATACGAAAGTAAAGCAATTCTCGTACACGCGGGATTGATTTCATGTTACAACCTAACCTAGCTTAACCTCACATTGTTAAATGTGCATGCTCACGCTAGCATTTCAGTCGCTTGAGAAATCCACCGCTCTCAATACTTACAATACTGCCCTTGATATCGGTTTCCTTACTATCATTGTCCATATTATGTCAAACAGCGACGCGTAATACTGATTTCGTAAAATTACCTCCTCTCGCACATTGCGCCAAACAAATGCCGTCACTTTTCCCGCTGTCAATCCGCCTGCACTTTTTGCACTTCCGCGAAACCCAATCCGCACTGCTTTTGTACTTTTTTTTTTTAATACAAAAAGATTGTTTCCCCGATGTTCATTATTGTCAATGCAGATTAAGTTCAATCTCGGTTTAACTCACTTTTAATCCTTTTGTAGTTCTGTGAATTAGAAGTGGATAAAAAGTAAATTAAACCGAGATTAAAATTAATCTGCACCGATATAACAATGGACGTAAATGCCATGCTTTTAGATTTAATTAATCGACTTATATCGATAATTCGTTTGTTCGATATTACAACAAATTTGGATATTTATATGTATAACAAATATATTATACAAGAATACATATACATATATATTTATTGCAGACTAAAGCACTACTCTTTAAATTAATTTCTCGTTCTTAATTCTTTTATGTTCTAATTACTTTCTTGTGTATCGAATGAAATACGCCATCTTAATCAAACTGTATACTGGTACAGCTGGGTTTACTATAAAGAAAATAATAAAATATTAAATTTAAACTCTAAAACAAATACATACTCTCAGTTTTCTCAGGAGAAACGATGCCAGGAGTAGCACACATTAATTTTAAAACTTGTTATAATTTTTATAAAAATAACTACATATCTTTACAAATCTCTTGCAAGCAACATACTCAAAATGTTAAAGAAAGTGACAAAGCAATGTTATTATCCATGTTAGAAAGAATAGTGACTAGAAGAATGAAAATTTGAGAAAAATATTTTTCTTTAGACAATCGTTTCTTTCGGAAAGATTGAAGTAATAGAATCCTTGATAAGGACTCGCGTAGAATTCATATTAATGGCAACAACAGGTTTATTAATCAACTCTTCGGATCGGGATGAGAATAAGATGCCGAAATAATCTGAATTACGATCATGTTTATAATTTTATCATTCATATTTATAATTCGTCGTGATGAAGAACATGTAATATACATATAATGCACGCGAGTGCGAGTGAAGTAAAACTATTCCCTTACGGACTGAATTTTTAATGAGCGCACATAGTTAAAATTTTACATAGTCAAATTAAATATTTATTATAATAAAATATTAAAAATGTTAAATTAAATTAGAATTTTTCCCTAACAAATTGGATTTATTGTCTATATTCAGCCGTCTCACCACTACTCTAGCACCCTCCGTGATGTCCTGAATAAACTTTAACATTTCTATACGAACTTTGCCGCCACTCTTCACGTTGTCGAGATTGTTCAACGATCTTTGTTTCTGTCTCAGGCATCTCTGTCGAATGGCATTGTCTTTGTTATGTACATGCAACAAGTCGTAATAAAACTCCTCCGTGATATCCTGTAATTTTCTTGGCGAACCGCGCTTCGATGACGAATCCTTTCGTAAGGTGCGAGTCTCGTTTTTTCTCTTCGAACTCCTCACGCGCGTATCTCTATTGGGTCTTGGAACATCCTCATCGAGCGTTACGCAAGCTTCCACGCCGTCACTCTTTACTTTTTCAGAATTAATTGTCAATTTCGTAGACAATGAGTTATTCGCTATATTGGGATCCATACTATTGTCCTTTAATAAGACATCCGCTTCGGAAATCGTGTTCTTCGATAACGCCACGTGTTGCAGTTTCCGCTCGTTCTGCCGCAACGTTTCACTATTAATTGTTGAGGAAAACCTGCGTGCTCTGCATGTGTGTCGCAGGGTCTTCTGCAAGGCTGGTGGCATTTGCTCAATAGTAATAGCCTTATCCGAAACTATCCTCGGTACATTTACCTCCTGCCGAAGTGATTTCATTAAACTGGATTCCTTAGAGATTACAGAAGTTGTCTTCGTAGCTATTTCATTTGGATTTAATGAGGAATACGGTGGCAGCGAATTATAATATCCTTCCATCGATTCCTTATGGCTGTCTTCGATATCTGTGATCATCGGTGAATTCGTATCTCGCAGGCATGCATTAAGTTTCTTAGATGATGAAGTCTCGGGAATAACATCCCCTTGTTTTCTCAATTCGATATTATTTTTATGTCTTTTGTCTCGCTTGTTGTCACAATCTTGCCTTTCCTTGAATTGTTCATGTTCTGTCACAATTCCTGCTAAGCAACTATCACTATTATTCTTAATGTTAGAGGGAACGCATGGATGCTGATACAGATTTAAATGATTCCTCGCGCTATGTCTATCATAATTGGACACGCTTAATCTGTACATTCCCGTATCTACGAAATTAATATTTACATTGTGTACAGCGTCGTTAGAATAAGTATTAAACGATGGTGGATTTGCACTTTTGCTGATTCCATGGCGATTCTTATATTGTTCGTTTCTATTGCGTGGAGAATCTATCATGGTTACCAAGTTCTCCAATCTCAGTAAGCTGGAATTTAACAGACACTTTTCTCCAGCCTTCGTTTCAACTTTCTCAGAATTTTCCAAGACTTCATCCACTTCTAATTTGGTCTTTTGTTCAATGACGGCCACGCTATCCTGATCTTGTCGTATAGTAAACATTAGGCCCTCCATCACTAAATCGGTAATATTAGAGGAACGCAGAACCTTGTCAGGTATGGTTTTTCTCTCGGATTCCCTACTTTTTTGTTTACGAGTCTTGCACGACTTACTGTGCATATTATCTCCCGATTGTTTATCGTCAGTATTCAGTGAAGTTCCAGTATGCTGTCCGTCATTTGCCTGATATTCTAAGTTTGTCATTTTATTGTAAATTTCCTTTTGCTTCGTGCGTGTAGACTTGCTATTTTCTTTAATCGTTTTTGGAACACAACCTTTATTTATATTCTTCATCTCAGTCTGCAGATTCTTATGTTGATCCATAATCGAGTTAGATTCTACATCTTCTACCTCCATCTCAGTAAAATATTGATATCTCGGTACATTGTTAGGACCTATAATTTCTCTAGACGTCTTTTTATCATCATCTAAACTGTCTTTGTTAATGGTAGTGCACGTATCATCTTTCTCTATTAACTTTTCATCAAAATGGAGTTTATTTGATAGCAGCCAATCATTGCTATCTTTTGTTTCTGTAAAAGGTTTCGACGAAGAAGATACTTTATATTTCTGAACATCTTGAATATGTTGGGTTTGTTTTTGTATTGCTAAGTTTGATTTTTTGTCCTCTTTTATTTGTGCATTTTCAATTTCAGTTTCATCTATTTCCTTCGCTCTTAAGGATTGTTCTTGTAAACCATCAATAGAAAGTTGTTCTAAATTTTTCCCACATCTTTCAGCATTACAGTTTACAGACTTACTTTCTTGTATGTAACGAAATTTTGTATTATGTTCCGTATTATCAAGCTGCATTTCCGCTGTTGTGTCACTTCTCTCACCCAGATTTTCTTGAAAGATTGCAGAGTCCCTTATGCCATCATCTTTAAAATTAGAATCAATTGTTGTTTTCAAAGCTTCGCTCAACATATCCTCAATAGCATTGTATGTTGCAATTTGATCTATTTTTTTACTTTGACATATCGCGGATTTTCTTGAAGACGTCTTGTCAGTGGCAGGTATCACAGTACTGATAATTTTCTCCTCGGTATCCAAGGAGGCATTCAAATCTTTAAAAGTAGTACCTGCGTCAGCTTCTTTCACAATCGGATACTTCAAATCAAATAACGAGTGCTCCAACGAAGGAAAAGTCTTTATCGTTAATACAAACGCGTGTGAAAACGCCGCAGCGTTATTGCGCTGCTGGAATTTCATTATTGCAAACATCTTGTCCTGTCGAGTCCAAAATGTACAGTCTATATTTTTTAAAAATTGCATTAAAGGAAATATAGTCATTTGAAAGTCTTACTTATAAAAAATATTTAACATTAATAAGAATATCAATATTATCAACATTAATAGTAAGAAAAGGATACTGTAAGTGACGAGAAGGTGCTGGGTACCAAATTGTTGACCCTGCGTCGGATGACACTTGATGATTCTCCTAATGATCTTGAATAATTCTCGTCCGTATGAAAATCGCGTGGTATTTCTGAAAGTGCAATGTAAAATGAAATTTTCTTAAAAAAACTAACACAGCGACACCAAACGTCTTACTTCATTGTGCGGTGGTATCTAAAGATAAACTTGTATATGCTCTTCTTGTGGCACAGCCAATAAGCGCCAGGAATGACTAACAGAGACTCTTTCGTTTTGTCGATCCAATCAAGCTGGCTAAGCGTTGGTACATGTATTCCAGGCATTTTCTTTCGGGTAACAAATCTTGAAACAACGGAACTAATCTTCTCGAACCCTGTCTACCGACCGATTCGTTCACGATAAACGTAAGGCAGTAGAGCACTCTTTGCTGAAACAAAAACATTTGCGAGCGTGAGTGATTTTCTTCCCCGCTGCTTGCAAACGCAGACGTGTAAACTTACTCCTTTTATGACCTCATTGATGAATATATCTTCCACCACGTCCCATGGCAAGAACTCTGTCGACGTGAGGATGCCAAAGCCTCTCTTCCTCTCGATATGTACACCCACTGATTCGACAACCAACAACGTATCTGCAATACAGTGTGTGTATTAACAATCACACAATTTGTTTGTCCCTTTACAAAGCGGCTTCTGTTAGACTATTTGTTTATTAAAAAAATGATATCGAACCCTGTTTGATCGAGGTGACGAACGATTTACATTGCAGTAACAGAATACACGCCGATACGACGAGAGAGACGAAAGCTCCCGAGACAATCCATGTAAGAAGAATTGCGCAGACCAACGTTAAGCACAAACTGACATTGAAATGCCGCTCGCTTCGCAACGCGAAGTTTATGATGTTGGCATTTGACAGGCTCGAGCTTGCTTTCTCCTCCAATGTTAGCTGCGTCCCGTTAGCATTTCTGAAATGTACTCGGGTGGTAAGCGCGGCTATTAGAAAATTCGACGACATCAATGACGATTCCGTGTACGAACGCCCCGGTGAACGTCAAAGTTTTAATACAGTACACGTAAATAATAAGACCGCAGCTTCGTCCGAAGATAAACCTTGCTCGCTCGTTGTACCTTTGTCACTTCTCGGAACATAATTGAGCGACCCGACACACTCGCCACTTATTCTTTCAATTAAACAATTCGTTTAATTACATTTTGTCACATTGTGCCATACATCTCGGAGACGAAACGTTAGTGCCCGTAATGTCGAACTCGCGCATTCTTATGTAAAATATAAAAACCTGGACTATAGGAAGGGAGGGAGAAAGAGAGGGGAGAAAAAATAGTAATTGAACGGACACAGATGCAACGCCTCATCAGCCATCTCCACACGCAGCCCGTTCCAGCGATCAGTGGTGCAGATTCACACGCTGGATCCGATATCCAACGTACGACGCCCGATATGATTGGCTTATACTTTTGGATCCGACAAGGAACGAAGAGTCAAAACCAATCGTGCTAGACCGGTTGTTTACATTTGTCGTACGCAAGAAGACTAGAGACCCTCTAGTCTGAACTGACTGGTGTATGTACAGTCAGTTCAGCTATAAAGAACAAACCCTGATGTCACGTGATCTGTGACACGCGCATGCGTCTAGAAGCGTTCGCCGGAGAAATCCGTTCTCTCCCCCGCCTCTCGTCGTTTTTCTCCGGCGTAGACCTCCAAGACCTCTTCACCGAAAAGGCGCAACCATGGCTGAGGTGGGTTCTCGAGATGCGATATAAAATCCACGAGGTTCTCACGCATCGATTGTGCGATGCGTGATTGTACGAATCGTACAATTTCTTCGGTTTCCCAGCTACATCTGCGGAACAATATTTACGTATCGCGTGCGATTGTCACGCGTCTAACGAATATCCCGAATTGTCTTTATTTCTCTACGTGTGTTCTTTGCAGGCGGATGAAACTCAGAAGAAGAAGAGGACCTTCAGGAAGTTTACCTTCCGGGGGGTTGACCTCGACCAGCTCTTGGACATGCCGAAGTAAGATTGGCATCACGACATAACCTATACAATAATGCTCTAACCTCACAATAAGAAATATTACAATCTATGACCGTGGGTTCACTTCCAATGCGCTTAAAATTGAACAGTATTTAATTTCACACAATTTATTTCCACGGTGCATTCTCCAAGTTGTTAAAAATGGATGAAGTATGCGAGCGTGGGAACAAGGGGAAAGGATGTTTATTAACAAATAACTTTTTTCCCCAGTGAGCAGTTGATGGACTTGATGCACGCGCGAGCGCGCAGACGCTTTTCTCACGGTCTGAAACGAAAGTCTATGGCTCTTGTCAAGAAGCTGCGCAAGGCAAAGAAGGAGACGCCACCTAATGAGAAGCCCGAGATCGTCAAGACGCATTTGCGCAATATGATCATCGTACCGGAGATGGTTGGCTCGATCGTTGGTGTATACAACGGCAAGACCTTCAACCAGGTCGAGATCAAGCCAGAAATGATTGGCCATTATCTTGGGGAGTTCTCTGTTACGTACAAACCTGTTAAACACGGTAGACCTGGTATCGGTGCCACCCATTCCTCACGTTTTATTCCACTCAAGTAAAATGTACTTCGCTACCTTGTATCAATAAATTTACCAAACGTGTAAACAAAAGAGTTAATTTCTTCGTCGAGTCTTTTATACAGTCTTTGTAAATTAATTTTTTTCTAGTACCAGCAACAAAAACTCAGTTTCTTTAATTTGCGACAGCAAAAGTATACGGGATTCTTTTAAATTTGATCTCGAAATGTAGAAAAAGTAAATCGAGCAACGTGAACGAGAGCCATGGAACCTTTGTATCAAAATATCTTGCAGAATGTGTTCTTATATATTTCATAGTACTCGTACGTTGTATAATGCATGCTTTACGAGTTTTTATTCGAGAAGGTTTTATTAAATACTTTGCAAATTAATAGGTAACACTGTAGAAGAATTTAACATGCCGAGATATAAGAAATGTGCTATTCGAAAATGTCTATCCGTCATTACTATTACTTTGTTTCATAGCGAAGTAGGCACTTTGTAGTTCTCGAAGATTGTTCTCTAGCGTTGCGACCTCGTCGTACTTGCAATCGGCGCGGGCTTGTTTAATGTACGCGCGAAGGTTGCTCATTTGTTCGATTATTGGATCCATGGAGGAAGACATGATGGGGGTAATGTGAGACGGACCCCAGCCTTGAGACTGAGTCACCATCGCTTGTGCCTAAAAATTTGAGGACTGCCATGACGAAAACTTGAAACGGTCAACGAATGATTAATCGATAATTTGTCCACAAATCTTACAGTTAGACTATTCAAATGCATCTTTTTTTTAATAAAGAAATAGATGTCGTGTATCTTGAAAAATGTCCTCGGATATTAATTATACCGCATGAAAATAAGCCAAGAGCATAAAATGAACGAATAGCTCAAACAATTTTCCTTTGCGATAGTAAAAGGCAACGAGCCGACACCAGATATAAAAGGTAATAGAAATATATTAACAAGTCAACAACATATAACATACGACCAAATTTAAAAATCAAATATAATTACATACAGCTTATCATTTTTTTGTTATTAATTTTATTTTATTGTGACTCTAATATTATAGATCCATGATTTGGAAATCGTGTCCTAAATCGTCTGCCAGTTTGTTAGTACATACCTGACTGGTTTTCAAAGCTGGACTGCTGTCCAAATTCCAGTTGGTGTCTTTCCTGCGTTGCTCTTTCGGCTTTTCTCGCTGCTCTTCCTCCAATTGCCGCTCGTACGCTATTCGAGCCTCTATTCGTCTCTGGCGTTCCTCTTGTAAAGCTACATATTCTTCTGCCGAAGGCAAGGGTTGTAGAGTCAACAGCTCCTCTTTTAGAAAGATCATTGCTGATGTCCTAACCATCTGATACAATCTCAATTCTTGTCCCGCCTTGTCCGCCTCCTGCGAATCGTCCGCGCTTTTCTTCATGCTAAAGACTAGAATTCTTTTACTGGTCGCGTCTATATTCTCCCCCAACTTCGCCAGTTTGACTCGTAACGACTGCGCATCTTCCAAACCGTACGTAGTCTCGCCTTCTCTAAAAAAAAAAAAGTAATTTTGCAAAACATTCTAAATCCCCTCGAAACTAGTTTCACAATTGACAACTTATACACTAAAGAAGTCGCTGTGTATTACATATATATTTTTTAATGCAGTAAATTATATTGTGCGAACAGATCGATGTCTCGATGGTAGTTGACGTACTTCAACGACTCCCACATTTTGTTGTACATCGCTAAATGCTGCGACGCCTCGCTCATGTGTTCCCTCATTTTCTCGTAGAATCCGCAAACGATCGGTTTGTCGAATTGCTTCGCCTTCTGCATCTCCCTTGCATCGAGCAAGTTTATGCAGTGCGTACAAACTCGGAAATGCTGTTCGCTGCCAGCCGAATCATTCACCAACGATAGGACGCTGTTCAAGCTACCGTTGGAAGGTGATCGCACTAATTTCGAGACACCGATGCCCGTGCGCGTTACTCTCCCGGGAAACGCTCGTCCCGACGTAGGTGACAGTGCAGAATCGTCTTGTATCGACACGGGATTGGTCATTTTTCCTGTAAAACAAGAACAACCGGCTTTGGCTAGCTTTCGGGAATACATTCGAGCTGTCCCGCGGGACAATATTGATACGCACGTGCTTCGATCAGGGACAAAAATACTGTACAATTATGGCACATGACCGCCCCACATAATCTACAGTGATGTTTTCGCCTCGCCAGGTGAAAGCTCTTGGCACAATTGGGGCACAATTTCACGTCCTTCTCGTCGAGCCACGGTACAACGGTGCGTTCGTGGGCTGTAAAGAAAATTATCCCTCACGTCGCTCAATTGTGCGCCAGTCACGGGCGTCGTGGAATCGGTGGACAGGTAAGAATTTATACAACTTGCTCACCTTTCCTGTCGACCGGATCCGACGGTAAATTATTTAGTAACTTATCTAGCCTTATAAGAAGCTTATTTGTCTCGTACGCGTATCTCTCTAGCCGAGCGTTTCTCACGTCCTTAAAATACCTCGTGTGAGACGTAGCTGCACCTGGAACAGTTTTCAGAAGTCAACATTGCGACATCCCGTGAAATTCAATCGCCTGTCCCGCTGCCAGCGCGCAATCTCCAAATGCTGGTTTTCGGGGAAACCGGGGAGAGACCTGGGTCTGACCATTCAGGAACTTTAACAAGAAAAATCCCCCCACAGCGAGGACACCGCGCGCGAGTACCTATCTCCTGTGGTCCCCAATTGATCTCAGGACTCCGTCTCTTGTCCTGCAGTATCGCGCTTGGAAATGCCTCCGGTATGCTGCCCTGCTTCAAGGGCAGGAACTTGTTCCTGGCTTTGCCGAGTAAATCTAAAGAAGAAAAAACAAACGCACATGACCCGACATTCGTTCCGCAAACACCTCAGGAGCCCGCGCGGCGAACGGCCCGCGGACGACGAGCTCTAATCTTCTACTTGGCGAACAAGTCGGCGTAGGATCGCGCACGCACCTCTGAGCGACCTCAGGATCTCCGGATCGTCATTGTGAACCTCGTCGAAGTGCTTCGTCAGGTGACCGGGCGCCTTGAAGTCGGTCATGCATATGGGACAGAGAAATCCCTCCAGCACCACGTCGTTGCCCGCCATCGCGGGGCCGGGACGCCCTCGCGTGTCCGCAACTCAGCGGAGACCCTCGATCGCGCGTTCACCACGTACACGTCCTAACGCGGGCGTTTCTGCAGCGCCGCGGACGGGAAGGCGTCTCGCGAGCAGCCATATTGAGCGCGACAGCTGATAGAAGTGTCAAACGCGGGGGACTCGCCGGTCTCGCGATACCGAGCGATACCACGGACGCTCTCGCGCTTCTCTCGGGGCAACGACGCGTGGTCTCGCACGACGCAGGTCTTAGCGCGTCCGCGTCGCGACCTGCGACGAACGAGAGGCCGATTTTATCTGTGGTGTATCATTATCGGCACTAGAGCGCAATTCTCCCGGAATCGTAGATAAGGAGTGATGCAGAAGGCGTCAATAGCGTTTAAGCGAGATTAGGCGAGATGCGGACTGTGCAAAAGTGGCGCGCTTCATTTGAAACGCAGATTATCGAAGATCGAAATGGCAATTAGACTTTTTTCCTTTTTATCGTTGCACTGGGCCACTGTAAAACTTTCCTTCGCGCTTTCGGTAAATTTTGAAGAATTGTTAGATAAATTTAATATACCCGGGGAAAGAAGCTGCATATATCCAATTTTATCTAATATATTATCAATCAAATAATGTCAGATGTGACAAAATTTGATCAGAATTAACTTTACTTTATTAATGCGAAAGCTCAATAAAAATAGAAATTTTTTCTATTCTGTTCTACTTTTCCATAAGCAACTCTACCCTCTTTAACAATTAAATTTAAGTGGCGATCGTGGCGCAGAGGATTGTGCGATGGTCTGGTAATCCCGAAGGCCCGGGTTCAAAACCAAACAAAAACATTGTTGGTTTTTCGTTCGATCGCCACATAGCGAAGTGGATATAAGACGGAAAAATTACCGGGAAAGGAGATATTGGTCAAGTATACGATGATACACACGACGAAAAAATCAAACAATGTAAAGGATGTGAGAAACTAGTAAGACTGGAATATGGCATTATAATAACATACTTCAGTTTTATTACTAGTAAACCTGAAATATGTTATTATAATGACATACTTCAGTTTTATTAGTTTCTTACATCCTTTGCATCGTTTTATCTTTTCGTCGCTGTCGCATCATATCGGCTCGCCTCTTATACTAATACGGGATGATTTTTACATACGAGAAAGACTAACGCGCGGTCGCCACGTCGCGGCAGTATGTGGTACTAGTGCTATCTATTCAGGTTAACGTTTATCAAATTCTATGAGGGAATCAGGCGTACCGGATCAGGCACATGTCAGGGATTCCTTAATTATTAGGGCATTCTTTACTTCCTCATCCCTATCGGGCCCTGACCATACATAAGGCATGCATGATTTTATTTCTACTCGAGTAACGGACGTGTTTTTGACAAATGTGTACCTATATTTTGGATAGGATTTTTAATAATTCAATATTAATTAACCAATTTATTTCATTGTATTTATATCTTGTCATACTTAGTATATTATATATTTATATTAAAGATATATTTATATTATATATATGTATCTTATATCCATACTTATCTACAAAAAAATAGTGACGTTTTAAATTGCTATGTTCAATTAATCTTTGTATTTTTATTATTTGTTCACATGCTTTACATTTTTTTTTCAATTCATTGCTCGTGTCATAGAACTTGAGAAATATGTTCCATGAGATTCTTACCTTTTATTACCTTACAACTGTGTTCCAAAATTCATTGTTAACGCTGAAATCTATAGCATACGTTACGTGCACTATAGATGTTCAGCGACCAATTCTAATTATTATTTTTATATGTTGCTAAACACTTGCAAAGGGAAAAAAAACTTGAAAAGTGACGTTTCGTTGAAAGATCGAGTTAGCGAAACATTTATTACATATCGACTGATTTCTTTCGCAAAGTCGTATCTCGATTTTACACAATTTCTGGCTTTTGTGCCAAAACGCTCGTTCTGGAGCAGAATGAAATCGAAAGAGATAAGGTGGTCAATTCCGTATCTTACACTATAGTGAAAATGCCAAGTGAGTAGCTTCGTCTCTTTCTAACTGTCCGCTTAAAAATAGACAAATTTTCACTATAAGATACAGAATTGACGCCCAGTCGATATACGTCGACGAAGTTGTAATAAGAATTTGTTGCTCTCAGATAATTTTAAATAGAATTGGCTCTATCATTTAATTTTTAACAGTTAAAATAATTTAGATACGTGCTCTACAACAGGGATACGAAACTGGTCAAATCCGGCCCGCGACGTCCAAGTTTGACCCACAGAAAACGTAAAAATCAAAGTGAATTAGTAGCGTCGAATTGTTGGCGTTTTCTGGTTAATACAAAGAAGGCAAGAAAGGCACAACTTCTAGCTGCCGCAGCCCGAGGTATAATTTCAAATTTGGCTCACCAAAAAATCTAGTTGCGTTTCCCTGCTCTACAATGATACACGTTACGAAGGATTACAAAAAGTCTGACGAATTTGATGATTTATAATAGCGTCTTAAAATCTTTGAATCTCCTTTTAACGACAGATTCTTCGGCTAATTCTAATACGATATCGCAATTAATGTTAATCAGAAAGAAGAGAAAAGTCGCGAGTTTTTGTTAATGTTTATTCGTCTTACAGTCCAGAACATTTACATAAATTAGTATACGAGTCAGTAACGCAGGCGTAACGATCTCACGTGAATGTTAAAAAAAAATGAGGCTGTGTGATTGATACGGTAACAGCATTGAATTCAGACAAACTTACAGGCCGTCCTTTGACGTTTCCTCTAAAATTCTTATCGCACGCTACAAAACTGAACGCGTCGTTTCAGCGAGAAACGACAGACATATATTTATAAAAATTATCTCGAATCGGTGTTTTATACAATATTATGTACCATGCCCGGAATTAACGTATTACATATACCATTAAAGATATCTTACAGGATGTACTCTATGTTTATACTACGTCTACGTGAAAGATCAATTAACTTTATTATATAAAATCATAAAAAGTGTGCGCAAATAGAGTGTCCCGTTGAAGAAAATGTGTCCATTGTATAAAATTATTTTATAATAATATCATGTGCGATGTAAAATAATATACATAATCGTATATATTACAAATCAAACATCAAAACGTAGAATAAACGAAAATTAAAGTTGTGCATGCTTGTGGCTTGTCGCGGCATAAGCACATCATGAACATTTTTAATCAAGCGTTCTCTAAAACTGTAGTCGTTTCCTTTTTAATGTGTTTCATTAATATATATATATATATATATATATACACATTACATTAATATATACATAGTCGTTTTGTATACTAATTGGAGTAACAATTACCGACTTAATTGATATATGTATGTACCAATATGCGTTTAATTTACAATATATATTGTCAATAGTAATTGCTATTGTTATTACTAATTTAGATTTGGTACTTAAATACATGGTATACGTACCGATATTATGAGCATATTAAATCGAGGCAAAATGATTTAGATTTGCCTAGACGCGTGCAAAGTTTGCATAAAGCGTATATGCGTGTGTAGTGAAAATTATACTTATTTAATAATATAAATGTAAATTAAATGACACCTTGTGTAAGTAATTCAGTTCAATATCAGAATCGTCATCAAAACTACGCGACGCGTTGTCGCAACTGTTTTTTTTTTCTCTTCTATCTGGATCCAATGCTTACTTAACATATTAATGACAATAGTGGACGGAGTGGGGTAATGCACACAAGCAAAAATGCAAGAAGAAAGAAATAAGTACAACGCCCTAACTGTAAACGAGATCTCTCAAATCGCATTTGCCTAAGTCTAAATAAAAAAAAAAAGTCTATAAACTCGTAAAGTGTCCTACTCTTTTGAGGTGGAATAAAATTTCCGAATCGCAAGATCCGTGTCAATGTAACGGTGCAATAAACGCCGCGGCTTGAAGATCAGAAAAGAAAAAGTTCCTTCTTCAAGCTTCGAACGAACAGCACTCGCAAGGTCGCGAAAACGATAATAAACGCTTCCGGTACACGTTAGAAAATTTATAAAACGAAAGCTACGCGTCCGCGTGCCAGTCGTACGCGCGTACAGGGAGCGAACGGTTTACTCAACCTGGGATTTGATTAGCGATGGTGTTAGATCCAACGGACACCGACGGCGGGCTCGCCGAGTTCTGCATTAACGTGTGCGTTTCCTCCTCTTGGTCGGAGAGCGGTATGGCCGGCATGTCGTGCGCGCTGGCTTGCTTTATCTTCAGCTGGCTTGGCACCTCTGTGAGTACCGGCCCGTACTGCGAAGTGGAACCCACCAGCAAGTCAGTCGATGGATTCAAACCGCCCAACATCTTTCCTCATAGCAACGCGTACATAAGATAAAGAAACAAATGTACCAGAACGTACCGGCGTGCGGATGGCCGTCGGCAAAAATAAAATTAGACGCAAAATATTGTGTCGGCTGGGAACCCGTTTGCTTACCTGACCGCTGCTACTCGTCATGCCGTTCCTCGGCGATTTGCTGTGGTGGAAGAAGCTCAGCCATGTCCAAACAAAGCCAAGCAGCACACCGACCAGCATTATCCCGGCGCCCAACGCCACGGAGCTCTTCCCTGTACTTTCGACGTGCTGCTGCACGTCCGGTGTCTCCGTTGGATGTTCCTCTGGTGTCACCTGCAGTTGTCACATTGTTCGGTGTCATGAATTGTTAAAATTACCGTCGTCTGTAGCATCGAAGATGACCGTATTGCAGGTCGCAAAATGCTCGCCGCGTCATCATCTACTCAATGTTTAAATTATAACACACAAATACCAAGGACAAGCTCGGCTCATCAGCCCATTCTCCTTCGATTAAAAATCATATTTAAATTCTAACCCCCCCCCCCCCCCCGAGATACGATTTGTTCTGAAGAACATGAAGCAAATAAGAGTTTGGCGGAGCTCGCAAACGGGAGGTCGGGGGGGGTTCGCGCGAACGATCGCGATTCTATACCTTCGGCACGGCGTCGTCGCTCGGGGGATCGTCCTCGGCGGAGACGAGGCTGACGAGCATCGTGGTGAGGCCGGCGACGAAGAAGCAGAGCGCGACCGACAGCAGCGTCCACTCGAGCCACTTCCTGGAGCTGAGCTTGTGCCTGGCGACGACGCGCCAGAAGCCGTGCCTGAGCCCGGCGGCGCCGCCGCCGCCGCCACCGCCGCCGCCGCTGCCGTCGCCGCCGCTGTCGTACGTGTAGCCGACGGTGGTCGGCTGGTAGACCGCCCCGCTGTCCGGCATGTCCTCCCGCGAGATGTACGCGATCTTCGCGCTTCTGGCCGCCGCCGCCTCGGAGGAAGCGGGTCTCCGCACGATCAGGCGCCGCTCCCGACTCGACGAGAGAGTCGCGACGTCACGTCACGTAAACGTTACGTTAAGCTGCGACGCGACGCGACACGGTCCCGCGTCCGCCGCGCGTCGGAGACTCTCCTCTTCGAGGAAGGGAAAAAAAAGGACAACACCCGTCTCTCTTCGCGCGCGACGCAACGACGTTGCAGCTGGCGAACTCGCCACACTTGACCCTCGGTGTGGCCGCGTGTCGTGCAATATGCGCAATTGCGACGCGCGCGGCACGGCTACGGCTACGCAAGTAGGATGCCCCGCTGTACGTGACACGCAGAGACACCGCGACGCGTCGCGACGCACGCAACTTGCGCGAACGTCCCCGCGCGACACGAGAACGTGAAGTCCGCACTGCATTTGATTTACGGAGAATCATTTCCTTTAGCGTGACTCGTAAAAAAGGGAAAAAAATTCAGCGATGAATATTAAATAATTAAAAAAAATTTTCACATCTTTATGCTAGAGAAAAAAAAACTCGCACGATCGAGTCGCAGGTCGCGGCCTTGGGTTTGCGGTCAGCCAATCAGAAATCGCCAATCGCAGTTGCAACTGGAGCGTAGCCAATCGCGATCGCGACGGGCCGGCGAGATGCTCGTATGCAGTAATCCGTGATTTTTATTAAATGAAGAAACATATTCTTGTATCGTGTCGCGTCATTTTCATTTTCTAAAAAGTTAATTTCGGAAATTTGTCGAATGCACTTAACCCTCGAGCTCGCGCGTTGATACAATTGCAAGATGTAAGAATTTTGATACAAATGCAATAACGCAAAGTGTGAGGCATGCATTACTCGACTTGCGACTAAATATAGATAGTAATACAAGATAGTAATCTTCGCGCGGCGCAAAGATAGGAAACACACTCGTATATACAGCTCACACAAATCTTCATTTCGCTTTTACAAACTAAGCGTGTCCCCCTTACATTGCATCCTCCAACTTTGTACAAAGATACTTTATACACTTGTCAAAAATAAACATACATACGAGGCCTGTACAAAAAGTATCCAGCCTGATTTTCTTTTCACGCTAACGAAGGATGAAGGGACCTTCCTGCGCCTGCGTGAATATTTGTAGCCCCCCCCCCAGCAACGCTGATCGCAAAAGTATAGCTACCACAGACTGGCTCCGTGTAACTCGAAGATGACCGAACGCGTGGAGCAGCGGTACTGCGTCAAGTACTGCCAGAAACTTGGGGATACCCAAGCAGAAACCATTCGCAAGATCCAGCAGGCTTTCGAAGACGATGCAATTACAGTTGCTCAAATCAAAGTGTGGTACAACCGGTCACTCTCCGCGGACACGCGGCAATCTATGAACCGGTTGTACCACACTATGGCCAGCATTCATAGTCGATTCTTATTTCAAAATCATCTTAAGTGTTGTCTTAAGACGCTAATACGGCTCTGCGATTGGTTGAAAACACATTAAGAGTCTACTTAAAACGATCTTAAACATAAGAACGGACTATGAATACTTTGATTTGAGCAACCCCCATTGCACCATCTTTGAAAGCCTGCTGGATCTTGCGAATGCCGCTGCTCCACGCGTTCGGTCATCTTCGAGAAGATGTGAATGCGACGAGCACGCGTTACACGGAGCCAGTCTCTGGTAGCTACACTTTCGCGACCGGCGCTGCTGCAAGGCTACAAATATTCATGCAGGCACAGGAAGATCCCTTCTACGAGTTGCCATACCTACATCATCCTTCGTTAGCGTGGAAAAAAAAATCAGGCTGGACACTTTTTGTACAGACCTCGTATGCAACAATATTAATATAGTACACCTTGCTGAAGTATTATAAATAACACTTGCATAGTCACGCAAGCAATTAATTACGAGATAATTAATCGGCGCTTCTCATTATCTACATCTCTAACGCTAACTCTCAGCCCCCGAATAGTTGGCGTTATCCTCGATACTTATTGTACACGGGATATATTCCTGTCCGGATTCCTGAAAGAAACGAAGACAATCAGTCGCGCAAACTGCTATCGGAAGTCATTTGAAACTATCACAAACGTGATAAAAAAAAATTCATATCTTGCGTACCGAATTTACAATAATTTGTCTGCCTCCCTCTAGATTCAGTTCGTCCATTTCCTCCGTCGTCAGGATTATCACGGAGTCCTCAGGTATACTATCCTCGTCTATATAAGTTATAGGTATTTCCGACGCGACCTGCGCACACCGCGAATCCGTCAGCGACAAAGTTACGCCGAAGTGATATGCAAATTGATACGTCTGCGTTATTACCTCGCAGTAACTGAAATTGGACGTCTCTTGCATCTTCGTCTGAGCGTCATGCGACACTGACGTATCGACCAGCCGTTGCTGCTTCTTCGCATTCGACGCCTTCTCCACCTTCTTCCCATCCTGCTGAAGCCTTCGCCATATCGTAGTCTTCGGAATGTGATAGGTCATGGACGCCGTGGCCTGCGACATCCTGCCACCCCTGCAAGCAGCCACAGCTTCTTCCAGTCGCGACTTTTTCAACTCCTCGTTCTCGGTTTTGCGCTTCTTCCAAAACGACAACGGCAGTTTACCTTGATCTACCAGCCGTGTCTTTTCTCTAAACAATGTAGTCTTTGGTATCTAGGCATCATTAGTGTCTTGGGTTACACTCGGTTAGCAATTCGGTTGGATATCCGTTCGCGATAGAAAGAATTGAAGCAAGATAATAAAATCGCAATGAAAATTTACTTTAAATTCCAGGGCAACCTTCGTCAAATTCTCCCCCCTCTCCAGAGCTTTGACCGCGGCCTCCCGCGTGTCCAAAGCGTACGACCTCTTCATCTCGGGACGTAGGGTTTGATAGCCCTCCTTTTGTAAACGTCTCCACAACACGGTTTTAGGTATTCTAAATATCTCCGATGCATGCTGCAAGCTCGAGCCATCTGCAATAAAATCAGCACGAGTTACACACAATCTAGCAATAAGTATAATTATCGAATAATCGCAATATACATTGCAGACCAAAGCAATCTAACTCCAACACTGTACAGAATTGAAATCTAAAGGGAGAATAAGAGACAGAGTAGAAAAAACCACTGACTGATGACGGCATTTATGGCTGCACTCATGCACTCCGCGGGATATCCGTTCCTCGACGCATTCAAATGTATGCCCAGTGCTTTCGCCCGCATGTACAACGTCGAGCGCGGTATATTGTGTTTAGTAGCAGCCTCTATTAGAGTCTGCCCCAGCTTCAAGTCGCTAATTGCAGACGCCAGCATGTCGTCATTGTAATATCTCTTGACATTTTCACGGCGACGTTTCTTCTTTTTGTTTAGGATACAATTCTCAGAGGTGCTCGGATCGCGCGAGTCACTCTCCAGGGACTCGGCATTGTCCTCGATCTCCCCCGCCTCCGTCGTGGTCTCTTCCGTAGAATCTTTTTGACTTTTAACAACTTCGCTCTCTCCAACTCCGTCTATCTGTTGAAGAGAAACAATTGGAAATTATAAACTGCTAAATGTACACAGAGTCTCACAGGCGAATGGAACAAGGAAATGCTTTGATACTGACGTCGACAAGGCCACTTATTTGCAACGATCGCGCCGCCTCGAGCAAGCTGCTGATATTGTCGACGGGAACACGGATCTCGCCGTGATACACGAATTCGATAATCGATTTTATATCCTGAGGAGATATGTCGCTTAGAATAATCGTTGGGTAATCTTCCGTTACTTGACTAAGCACTTCCTACAAATGATACAGTGTCAATCTCGTGACAATTAATAGCTGCTTTCCTTTTACACTCAAGTGATACTGAGTCACTCAGTTATGTATTTTATACTCAGATACGACGTCATTAATGTGAGTCTATTAAACTCACTAAAGCGTACGGTCTCAATCGTGTGCGAAAACTCAGTTAAATCTGGTTGAATCTCACTTCTCAAGAATCAAAAGGAACGTGCATTCAACTGAGTTATGACGGCACAAGTGAGATTTATCTGAGTTTTCATGTAAAAGGAAAGCAACTAATGTATACATAAAGTGATAAAAATGTGTACAGTTATAATACCATTGTTATTATGTTATGCAAATTGTAAAACTATTCCGTGTACAAGCATGCGTTACACTACTCCCGCAATACAAGTGGCTTAGTGATAAAGTAATTGAAAACGACTCAGAATATCGCTTTCGCGAAGAGCAGTCGTTATTGCTATCGCTAAACGTAAAATGTGCAACTGTGTCGCCCGATCGCGAGATGTGGCGAGTTTACGTGTGACAGGTTTCACGAGACAAGCTGTTTACTTGAAACAAAATGCTACACGCGCACAAGACAATGCGATGCGCGTGAATACGCTGGCCAGCCGCAGACAGGATGACATCCACCATACAGTCCTCGTCCAGGAGCTGCCGCACGACGTCGGACAGATGATTCTGATAGTTGTTCCACTTGAAGTGAAAGCTCTTGTTGATTTTACATTGGCCGGCGTCAGTCATGCTGTTACAGTTTTAGCTCCTTTCCACTCTGCTCGAGACGGACATTCGAAGCGGATAGAATTCAGAAATACAGGATCGTGTCGTCAAAACCCGCTCGCAATAATTTTCTCCTGAAACAAACCGTGAACACAGACTTCTATGTACCGCCTAGACTGCAACCTCTGAGCTATGGTTAGTAAGTGAGGAAAGAGCTCCGCCATGTCTTGTTAAGCCCGCTGCAGACGATGCTATTTTTCCTGCTGGATTGCTTGCGATTTAGTAAATTACTATCATTGCACCACTCAGCATTCAGGATTCCTAGTAATTTACTAAATTGCAAGCAATCCAGCAGGAAAAATAGCATCGTCTGCAGCGGGCTTTAGGTAAATAAAATAGTATGGCTGGCATCGACACAGGGTGCGTTCCGAATTAAGCCAATGGCACACGATACTATTTTTCTACTGGATTGCTTACGAGAGCCAATCAGGATTCAGCTTTGAGTCACCTGATCGAAAATTCTGCATCCTGATTGGCTCTCGTAAGCAATCCAGTAGGAAAAATAGTATCGTGTGCCATTGGTTTTAGTGTGCACTCAGTGCGCAACCCATGGACGTAAGAATATATGTATGGACGGAGCGTAATGTAGGATTTAGGACGAGGGGACCCAAGCGAGCGCGGTGAGGGGAAATTGGGTGGCGGCCATATGTGATGACTAGCAGAGATCGCACGGTCGCATAGGGAGGGGATGACGCACACAAGCGAGCGACCGTGTCCGTGTGCGCACAGACACGGTCGCTCGGACAGCACTGCCTCGTGGTAGTGTCGCCGCCATATGTGATGACTACTTTTCCCCTCACTGCTCTGGCTCGGCCCCCGCTAACTTACACTCCGTCCATATATTCTTACGTCCATGGCGCAACCGAATTCGCCAGTAGTTTTCGACTTCAACTCACTCTCCCTATGTTATCCCTATGTAGGTGGAATATATTTGGTTGGCTTCCTGCGAGGTTCGTAAACGTTTGAATCCGAGGCGTTGATCGGAACGTTGTTGATGTCAAAGCTGACCCGCTTCTATTCCAACGTGACGTTTTGCTACTGATTCAACATGTACATCAAGTCAATGGTACTGGAAGGATTCAAGTCGTATGGCAAGCGAATCGAGATAAACGGTTTCGATAAGGAATTCAACGCGATCACGGGATTTAACGGTAGTGGAAAGTCCAACATTTTGGACGCGATATGTTTCGTTTTGGGCATCACGAATCTCGGCCAGGTAAATCCCCTTCATTCGCGCGCATGCACTTTATATTTTGTAAGAGATTTCTTTAAAACATTACGCATTTGAACATAGCCTCATTCTTACAATTCCAGAAACGTATTTAGTAGAAAAATGTTATTATTTTATTGTGACGCGCGTGAAAGATTTGTTTACATTGTCAACGTTACTATTGTATAAAAAAACATGCTATATATTAGATTGTTCATGTTAAATTTATACGTAACGATCTATCGTTTAAATTGCAAGGAACTAGTTAAATTATTCAACTAATTAAACAGCATTAAACAATACTGATTTAATGTAATCTAGGTACGCGCCACTTCCCTGCAAGATTTGGTTTACAAGTCAGGTCAGGCGGGGATAAAGAAGGCTAGCGTTACGATAACTTTCGACAATCGTGACCGAGAGTCATCCCCTATGGGTTACGAACAACACGAAGAAATTGTGATTACAAGACAAGTTGTCATCGGCGATAAAAATAAATACATGATCAATGGGACGAATGTACCAAACAAACGAGTACAGGATCTGTTCTGTTCTGTTCAGTTGAACGTGAACAATCCGCACTTCTTGATTATGCAAGGCAGAATAACGAAGGTATTGAATATGAAGCCGGCGGAGATTCTATCCATGCTCGAGGAAGCGGCGGGGACAAAAATGTACGAGAAGAAGAAGCAATCGGCGCTGATCACCATAGATAAAAAAGATAGTAAATTAAAAGAGATAAATAACGTATGTTTTTCTTTCATTGATATTCTTTGATGCTTACCGACGTCTTAATTTCTTGATATCTATTCGCTATGTGCATTTTAGATCTTGAAAGAAGAGATAGGTCCAAGGTTGAACAAGTTGAAGGAGGAAAGAACAAGATATGTAGAATTTCAAGGGATAGAGAGAGAACTTGAGCACAGCAGACGAATTTATCTCGCCTGGAAGTATGTTACTGCTTTAACTAATAGTCAGAAGACGGAGGAGAGTGTCACGATTGTACAAAATAAGATAGATTCAAAATTGGAGAGCATAGCTGCTGGTGAAGAAGAAATTAAGAACATAGAAACAAAGTATGCTAAACTACTGAAGGAAAAAGAAATGGTACAGTTTCTTGTTTTATTGGTTTTTAAGTAACTCTATAATGTAGACAGCTTGTATTGTCTCTAATGATATGCATACAATGTGCTTCAGAAGTTTAAAAAAATAGTCTTCAATTTATATTTATCAATCGTCATATATTGGTTGTATTCAATTTTCAGTGTATTTGATTAGTGTTGTTTTTATTAATAAAAAATACATGAAATTATATATAATGTAATAATGATATAATCTTTAAAAGTAGTATTGAACATGGACGATATTAAAAATATTACTATTTACTATTAAATAACTTTTTAACAGGAAAAAGGTAACGTGTTGGAATCCTTAGAGCAAGAGCTGCAAGAAAATGAGAAAAAGCAATCTAAATTATCGGCTGAAGTCAACAGTAATAAGGAAAACGTTAAAGCTGTAAAAAAGAAAATGGAGCAAATAAAGATTAATATAACAGATGATAAAAATGCGCTTGTCCTAAAGGAGAAGGAATTGGAGAAAGTTGGAGGACTTTTCCAGAATTTGAAAGAAATGTATCAGAAAGATAATGAGGCAGTATTGGAGGCACAAGAGAAATACCAGAAGATCACCGATGGCCTCCTGGAAAGTGAAGACGGTACGAATGCAACATTGGAACAACAACTGATAACTGCCAAGCAAAACGTTGCGCAGGCGCAAACCGAGCTTAAGCAATGCGAGATGACACTGACTCATAATAGGCAACAGTTGAATAAAAAACAGAAAGACATGAATAACACTGGGAATGAATATAAGAAATATAACATGGACTTGGAAAAGAAGGAAAAGGAGTTGAAGAATTTGGAGAATGAGATGCAAAAGTTGAATTACAAGGATGGTCATTTGGAAGATTTGAAAAACCAAAGAAGTAGTTTGTTGGCAGAAATGAAGCCATTGCGTGAGAAACTAGATCAATTTGAGTCGAGGTATCCTCGCACGGGATTCCATTATCAGAAACCGGAACCTAATTTTAATGCAAAATCCGTGAAAGGTATCGTATGCAATTTGATTAATGTGAAGGACAAGAAAGCTGCATACGCTTTGGAAGTTTGCGCAGGCGGAAAGGTAACGGTTTTACCAACACATACGCATACACACGTACACACGCGCATGTGAAAATTTGTTTATTTCATGAATCTAATTGTGTTTCAGCTTTACAATGTGGTAGTTGATACTGATTCTACAAGCAAAAAACTTCTCCAACATGGGCAATTACAGCAACGAGTTACGATTATCCCACTCAATCGAGTGGCTGGTAGACCTATCGATCAGCAAACAATCAGTTTGGCAGAAAGATTGGTTGGGAAAGAGAACGTTCAACCCGCCTTATCTCTCGTAGATTTTCCAAATGAGATTACGTCGGCGATGACCTGGATATTTGGCCAAATATTTATATGCAAGGATATGGACACTGCCAAGAAAATAGCTTTCCATGAAAAGATTATGAAGAAGTGCGTTACTTTAGAAGGCGATCTTTATGACCCAGTTGGTACGCTATCCGGCGGTGCCGCAGCAAAATCTGGATCAATTTTATTAAAACTGGAAGAATTGAAAGAAACCCGGGATGAACTGAATCACAAGGAACAGCTCTTAAAAAACATAGAGACTGCTTTGTCAAATATTGCACAGACAGCGGAGAAATATGCGTCGTTGAAACAGAAATATGATCTATTAACTCACGAAATTAATATGATACGACAGAATCTGCAACAAACAAGTTACCATAAAATCAAGGAAGAGGTAGATATGTAATCTGTAAATATTTCATATATATATATTAATAATTTAGATGTCAACAACATGAGAATAAGCAAGACTTTTTGCTTATGTAGGTAAACTGATGCCTAGCTTTAAAACCATTTTTTCCTTTGGTTATACAATCTACATATACATATATGTGTATATTTAAATACATATTTAAATCATTTTCAGATGGATCTTTTAAATGTAGCTATTGAAGATCTTACACAACGGATGGCTGCAGCAAAGAATTTAGAAAAGGATAGTGCCAAACGTGCAAATGACATAGAAATTCAGTTAAAGGATGCAGTGAACATTCGTGAAAAACAGTTAAAAGACGCCGAGAACCAACTGACTATCTCGAAGAAAAAAGCAGAACAAAGTCGCAAAGAGTGGCAAAAGAGAGAACAAGGATCAGAGACGCTCGAATTGGAAATAAAGGAATTGAAGAAAAGCATTGAACTTGGTAATGAACAATTGCTTCAGGCAAGCGAGGAAAACAATACGTTAGAAGAAAAGGGAGAAACTCTTCGGCAACAATTGGAAGAAACCAAAAATAAAGTTACAGAATTGCAAAATAATGTTAAGAAGCAAAAAGATGCAATTAATCAGCAAAACAAAGATATGCAGAAGTTGATAACGAAAAAGGAAAATATTATCAAACAAAATACCGAGCTGGAATTGGATATTAAAAAATTAAACCACGAAATTAATGATATAAAAAAAAGTGCGACGGAATGCAAGCAAAAAGTTTTGGAACTCACAAAGAGATATGAATGGATTAATCAAGAGAAATCTTACTTTGGACAAAAAGGTATGTGCAAAAATAAGCATTGCTCGATTAAATGATCCATCATGTGTGTGTTATATGCTTTTAGGTGGTATATATGATTTTGAAGTTAACAAACCAGAGGAGATGGAACAAAAAGTACATTATTTAGAAGGAATGCGTGAAAAATTAAGCCGTAATATAAATACACGAGCAATCAATCTTCTTGACAAGGAAGAAGAGCAATATAACGACACGGTAAAAAAGAAAAGAATAGTCGAGAATGACAAGAATAAAATTCTCGAGACGATTAAGCACTTGGATGAAAAGAAAAAAGAAACCTTACTTAAAGCTTGGAAACAGGTATAGTTTTTCTTTAAAAAATTTGTTTCATATCAAATATTCTATTACAATTTTTTTAACATGCTGTCTTTTGTACACGTTGAATTATATGTATGTATTATGCAGTAATGACATTTAAGATTAATATATTATAAACAAAACTTTATGATTTAAATTCGATAGAAATATTGCAACTGCAATATATAAATGTCCGAAATATATTTTATATTTTGCCAGGTGAACAAGGACTTTGGCTCCATATTTAGCACTTTATTACCGGGAGCTGATGCCAAGCTACAACCGCCGGAGAAGGAAACGATAACAGACGGTTTAGAAATAAAAGTTGGATTCTCAGGTATCTGGAAAGAATCGTTAGGAGAATTGTCTGGTGGTCAAAGATCCCTAGTTGCTTTGTCATTAGTGTTAGCTATGCTTCTTTATAAACCCGCCCCGATTTATATCCTGGATGAGGTAGATGCCGCCTTGGATCTTTCACACACAGAAAATATAGGTACAATGTTAAAAAGACACTTTAAACATTCACAGTTTATTGTTGTGTCGTTAAAAAATGGTATGTTCAATAATGCTAATGTTTTATTTACAACTCGATTTATTGATGGTATGTCGGCAATAAGTAGAAGTGAAAAAGCGAGATCCAAATAATTGTATAACAAGTTTTATGCTATAACTACTACAATAAATATAAAATTAATTTGATAGAATTCCTTAATATAAGCATTAAATTTGCGAATTGATCATATTCAACCAATCAATTCCTGCAAAAAATAAGTGATGTTTCATTTCATTTACTGTCAGTCGTTCTTCTGGATAATATTTCAGCATCTGCAACAATAATTTTATAGATAATATCATAATTTATCACTTTTTTACAGTTATGCACTCGCGCGCGAATGCATAGCAAATACCGATAGCGACATAAGATTTTATTAAACAAAATACAGATCTGAAGATGAAAAGGTCTAATTGGGAAATTAATATCACGAGACACAGTAGTGTCTCGCGCCAAGTGTAAAAGTGTTAAAAAATTACGGCAGAATGTAAACTTACACCACATAGTAGGGATCTTGCACTTTCCGATAATCTGCTAGGAATGTTAATAGTGGAATGTGAGTGAAACGACCCTGGATGGTTCCTAATAAACATCTGCGAAGCAAAGTTGAACTTTACTCACTATTGTTAAGACACATAATTTTTTTTTCATAATTAATATCCAGTTTTACATACTGTGCCAGTAAGTAGCTCGTACAAAATAACTCCGAAACTCCAAACGTCTGTGGCGGATGTAACGGGAATAGTCGGAGAAAACATTACAGACTCGGGTGACGAATACGGATACTCCAGTTTAGACAGTTCAAGATTGCGCCGCGGTATGGTGTAGGTAAGTCGGATATGTTCCGCGTCGTTTAGAAGAATATTATCGGGCTTGAAGTCGAGGATCAGGATATTCTGCTGATGAAGGGCTTCTAAAGCTAAAAGAATCTCCGCTGCCCACGAGCGAACTACAGCTTCCGGTACTCGCCAGAACTCCTGTTCCTCATCTACGTTATTCTCTTTATACGGATACTGCGTTTCGTCGGTGCTACAATTGACGTTTGATGAATTCATCTGATTGGATATGCTGTCAGTATTGTTATTCTCACAGACGTGTGCTATACTATTGTTCGAGACGTTCTGCATCGAAATGATCTTCGAAGTAGAGGTGTTACGCACCAAATTATCCATTTTGTTGCTCTTGAGTGAGTCGCGAGCCGTACAACTTGCATTTAATACAGACGCGCGAATGTTTCCCGACGCATTTGGACTTTTATTGTTCATCAATGAAGAATTATCGCCCTTCAGATCTTTAGTCTCTACGAAACTTTTCTTCGAAGGATTCTCCGCGGCTGTACCATCTATATTGATATTATTAGGATTTGACTTGTTACGATAAACATTAGATAAAGCGAGATCAGACTCCTGATAGATCTGTGTGACAGCATTCAGCGACGGTATACTTCCTGAGTGCCTCAATTCCTTATATTTATTTAATCGATTTGCGATGGAGTTGCTTCTCCTCAAAGTCGCGTTAACAGATTGCAATAATTCCTGCGACTTTTCTAACAATTGTGTAGTAGGCATCTCCACGTAGTTCTCACTTTGAACATACGACTCGCATCGACGGTCTTGTACCGTACCGTTTTCTGTAACTATATCTGCTTTCCTTGGTCCGCGAATAGTTTCATTACTATTACTATTGACCTCTCTACCGATATCTCTACTTGTGCAAGTGTGATTTGAAATCACATCACACAAACTGCCCGATACTTTGTAACGTTGGTTCACGAAGTCCCACAATCTTCCATACCTGTAACACGATACAACGTATGTAGTGCAAGTAAATGATACTGTGTGCAAGATGTTACAAATAACTTCATCGTACTGTACCTTGCGTGTTGCAGAACTAAAAATACCGAGGTCTCAGTTTCAACACACGCGTATAAGTGCACCATGTAAGGTACTTGGTTGTGTAACACATAATTGCTTATGTTGTCTTCATAGATACAAGATTTTTCTACAGTCTGAAATTACAAATCGTAAGTTAGAAAATTTCTCCAGCCATCTGTGCCGCATTTAATCGCTATCGCAAAACATTCGTTTACATCAACGTCTTTTATTCACAATAAATTCATAAACGTGTAACCAAGTTCTCGTACCTTGATTATTCTGTTACAATTTGCACGCGTATCCGTTACGAGCATCACGGACCCCATTATCTTAAGCACCTTATAATACTGAAGCTCCGATATCGGTTTGTTCACTACTGAGATATTGCAATTTAAATGCTTGTTGTACAATTGTTCGGCTCGTGCTAAGTACTTAGATATTTTGTCCTTTATGCCTGGTATCCTCGTACTGTCCGCGTCAAACTGTACACCGTCTATCAGACACGATATTCCCAGTTTGTACTGTGTGAAAGCTTCCCCGTACTCCGCTATAGACTCGTGCTTGAAGGCCGCGCTTATATGAGCAGCGGCTATCAAGAGATACTGCGTGGAGTCCGCCTGCGCTTGGGGAACATTCGCTTCCTCGCGCAGTATCGCAGACTGTGCATCGTAATTCGAAATAGGTTTAGTGATATTATTGTTCAGACTATCAAATCCTGATACGTCACTTTTATCAAAGCCTTTGCTTTGATGAGCGTCATGATGTTTAACGGCAGCCGCCTGCGTATGCAACTTGGCCGTTCTGCAGCCTTGTTCCTCCCTGTGGGCATTCTGCGACTTAATACTATCCTGAGATCCGGTTCTCCGGTACACCGTGATTTCCTTCTTGCAGGCAACGCTCGACAACACGGAGCGTGGGTTTGTCGGTGCATTGTGCGACGCTCTCAGCGGTACCTGCAGAGCGCTCTGCACCACGTTGTCATTCGCAAGCGCGGAGTTGTCGCCGTAGGCGACAACACGGTCGTCCTCGGACGTGTCTGAGCTGAGGGAATGCGCGCAATCATTGGCGTGATTATCCACGTGACTGGTCTCGAAGAACGTAATAAAGGTATCGCTCGAGTATAAGTACGCGTACCGTCCTACAAATTCGAGAAACTTGAGCGCATATCTCTTCCTCTCCTCCACAACCTCGGCCTCGAATCTGCCGAAGTACTTCGACTTGGGGAACGCCGGGAAGTTCTCCTTCGTTCCCGAACGCTTGTGCAAGTGACCGAGCTCCGAGTGGAGCTTCTTGAAGTCATTGTAACGCTTCCACACGGACACCTTCGACACCTCCTCGTGAGAGGATTTCAGAAATATCTGAAAGAGAAAAAGAAAAAGAAGAATAGGAAACTCAACATCGAGATCCAGAACCCAGTGAGAAATGATTCGTCGATCGACGTCGATCGACGAATCATTTCTCACCGGCAAGGAGAATGCGATAACGTCGAGCGTGTGTCGTACCATAGACGTGACTCTGTAAATTGTAAAGCCCTTCTTGTGCCGTTTCGTCTCGGTGATTATAAAACGTCTGATCCACTTGTCTCTCGCAGGTGCCATCACTTATCTCATATTGGTCGACGGGGGGTTTCCTTAATTCAATAATACTGAGATTCCTCCGTTATCATTGTGCAAGACGTAAATTAACGTAATGTAGTATTTGTTTGCTCCCATGTTTCATCATATGTGTCGCGCTCGCAGAGCTGACGCCGATTTTCGTCAAGGTCCGTGTGAAATCGTGTATGTCATTTTACGTTGTTGCGCGTCTTCACGCGCATACTATCCCGGTGTCGTGTCATTACATCTTGCCCGAAACGGAAGCGAGACCGAGCGTGTACTTTTTCACATGGGAACAAATAACAGTTCGTCAGCCCTCGCTTGTGGATCTTTCGAGACTGATATGCACTGATATGTCAGGATACTCAGGATTGTCAGGACTCAGGCATCTGTGTCATACTCGGTGTCATATCAAAGAATCTCGCGCATGCGTGCAGCTGCGCGACACTAGACGCTGTCACGCGGTTCAGCATCGACGAGCTGCGATTGAAGACGACCGGACTTAAGCCCGCTGCAGACGATGCTATTTTTCCTGCTGGATTGCTTGCAATCTAATAAATTACTATCGTTGCACCATTCAGCACTCAGGATTCCTAGTAATTTACTAAATCGCAAGCAATCCAGCAGGAAAAATAGCATCGTCTGCAGCGGGCTTTATTGTTAGATAAATTTTCGCGACTATAATATCGTAATAATTGGATGCTCCAAAAGCGCGAATAATCGAAGAGCGTAGACATTATCGATTATCGGTATAAATTTCTCAACGTATGTTTTTACAATTCAGAAACTAAGCTTTGAGCGAAAGGAGTCGTGTCAAAATTAAGTCCCGAATACATTTCAAGAACAAATTCAAGAACATTTGTTCTGAATCGCCTTATACAGGGTCCGGGCCCTTTTACCATGAGAGATGGATTACCGACTGCAACTTTAGTTCACTGAATGGCACAAGAGGGCAGCTGCTTAGATCTCAGGGATGTTGCAGGCAAGTCGAAAACTTAACCGAGCAGAAATTCGGCCAGGCATTATATAATTTTGCGTCGTATCGGCGTATATTAAGAAAAATTCCAGCTTACGCTGAAAAGTGGATGTGGCTACGTAGTTTACATCCCACCTTCTCAGTTGGCGTTAGTGCGCCGAAGGATTTTACAAAAAAAAATTCCAGATTCTCTCTGGTAGTTCTCTGGTCACTGCTGGCCACTGATACGCCGACGCTGGTGCGGGGCAGCTCTTTTCAGGAGGCGATTCATGATTGTGTTGGCTCTTTCCATTCTAACATGATCACGTGATCACGTGACAAATGTGAACAGTGAGTAAAGAAAGAAGATTTTTTTACTTTAAAGAGTGGTTCAGAAAACATTCGTGTATAAAACATCGACTCGAATCGGCGTGTAATGCAAACACGCGTGAACATGTTATATTTACGAAGACTTTTCGTATTTGTACATCTTTTATGATACAAATGTCGGCATAAATAAATGTATAAACTTTTCTCATATCGCGATAACATCGAAATCAATTGGAATCGGTCAGTAAGCTTAAGGTTGTTTTCTTTAAGATCGCTATCGTAGTTGTAAAATATGCAAATGTATACATTCGCGATTACTCCACGGTTCCACGCGCATTTATTATGTCGCTGTACGTAACCATTCGATGAAATTTCTAATAAGACTTACGAATTATTGGTTTAACCAATTTAAGAGCGATACGTTTTAATCCTTGATTTCAATATACAATTCTAATATAACAATAATTGTCTTTGAACGTACAATGATGTCATTTTATTTCTACACAGGTAATAGTTACCTATTTTATACCAATACATTTGTTAATCATCGCAAACTGTTTATATTTTACTGCTTTGGTTTATATTTTACTGCTTCGGTTTATATTTTATTGCTTTTAAAGTGTATGCGTCGTGCAAAGTGCGATTAGACATGTATTATGTTTACCGTTTTAAACTACCTGCTGTTTTATTTTCAGAGATACTTGCAAGTTTTAGGATTATTGTCTGACATGACTAAAGTAGAAGAAATTGCTGAAGTAAAGACGCTCACAGACGCGGAACGCGATGAGAGGCTTTGCAATGAAGTCAGGTAAAGTAAAAGGAGGTTGCGCGACACAAGTATCCCATACAGTACCAAAGCTTTCAGAAGCATTTCAGAAGCATTGCAACAATGTTTTCTGAAATGTTTTCTGAAAGCTTTGGTGCTGTATGGGATATATTATCTCTTTCAATGTACAATTCAAAAGTTTCGATGAAAGTCCACGCAAAGAAATTTGCATTTTCTGACCCGTATTCTGAATCCCCCTTTTGTCGATAAAAGCGCCTACTCTTAGTGACTCATTAGCTTTTATTGATAAAAGAGGATTTGGAATATGGACCTTTGAGTTTGGATGAACTTAATCCCATTTGCTCCTTTGTTTGGTTTTAAAAGTGAACAAATTTTTTTTGCAGCAACTTCCTTCCACGGATCGCCGATAGAAGTTCAAAGGAGAAAATTACAATGGCAGACGTAATGCCGCAGGTCGGTTCTCAATGTCTCCACACGTGAGTGTACAGCGAGGGGTAAACCGCCGAGGGCATTGTGGTGTACGTTTGCGGCATCACTGGGCATCACTGGGCATTTTTTGGGCTTCAGGCCTTGCTGAGGCATTAAAATAAGCCCACCGGGCATTAGTAGACGTTGGTGTACATGATTTTGGTCGGCGGTTTACCCCTCGGTGTACAGGCACAATTTTTCTGAATGCCATAAATTGCGACATGGATGATTGACTAATGTATTTGTTTAAAATGGGTAACTATTGCCTGTGTAATCTTTTAGATTATCGCCAGCTGTATAATTCATTGTATAACCATAAAGGCTGGTATAAACATGGCTTACAGCACCATCTTGTTAGACGGATTAGAATCGGACGCTGCTGATATGAGAGTGACCGAGAGTGAAGGATCTTGGATCGGTCAGTTTTTACGAGTTTACATTTTGCTTACGCCCATTCTACACCTAGGGATGATCCTACCTGTGGCTCCGCCGAGTGGAGAAGCTTACACGGGCATTTTGGTATGACCGTCGTACTAACTATGGTTTTTGTATGGCACCCCAGTCCATAAACGGTCTCAATACGACGATCTTTGTCCGTACATTTACTCACTCGGATGAGCCACAAGTAGGATCATCCCTGGGTGTAGAACGGGCATTATGGAAGCAGTTTGTTAGACTAGAGGATGCAGTAGACGTTCAGAAAGCTAGCACAGTGCCAGTTCATGGTGTTGCGCGGTCTTGCGCTGCGTAGTAGTAGTCTATAGAAAATTAGAATCGCAGTTATGTTATATTATTTCGCATTTATTTTGTCCTACAGCGAGTCTAGTTACAATAACGTTGCCAGTAGGATCTCTCATTGCTGGGCCTCTGATGGATAAGTTTGGGCGCAAAGTAGTTTGTTTATTGTCCTGCGTGCCCGCGGCGATATCGTGGACTTCGTTGATATTCGCCAGCTCCTTAGTTACTATTTACGCGGCTCGAGCCGTAGCCGGAATCGCAGCGGGCCTGACAACCGTCGGCCTGGTCTACATATCGGAACTCGCGCATCCGCAAGTCAGGCCGATGCTTCTGTGCCTTAACTCCGTGTTCGTGTCGCTGGGCATATTGATACCCTGCTGTCTGGCCGTAATGCTGGACTGGCGCAAGATGGCTATAATTTTCCTCGCATTAGAGTGTTGCATTTTCCTAATACTTTACTTGGTGCCTGAGAGTCCCTACTGGCTCGTGTGTTTCCCAAGTGGCATGTTTAACGAGGAACGAATTTGCAGAATGAAGCGCAGCTTGAGGCGGCTTAACAGGAGGCAAGCGGTGAGTTACGACGTTACGCAGCGTCTGTTACAGCATGCATTTCAGAGTCGCCAATGGACAAACGTTTTCTAGATTTACGAGGAAGAGTATTCGCGGATCATGGAGACCTGCGGGAGGAAGAACGCGGCGAGCGACGAGGCGGCGAAAAGTGTCCTAGTGTCCTTAAAAAATTATTACCACGTATTCACGTCCCCGGCGGCCTGTAAACCCTTGCTGATACTCTTCCTACTTTTGTTGCTGCAACAACTGTCCGGCTCCTACGTGGTCATATTTTACGCCATCTCCGTCTTCCGCGAAATGGGCGGGACATTCGGCACGAGTCTGAACGAGCACGGCGCGCTCGTTATGCTGGGTATCATTCGATTCATTATGAGTATAATAACCGTTTTTTGTAGTAGAAGATACGGCAGGAGAGTCCTCTGCATCTTGAGCGGGATTGGAATGGCCATTTCTATGCTTCTCTCCGGAATGTACCTGCATTTTGCGGTGCGCTACGATGAGAACGATAACACGGAGGAGACAGTTGCGGGCCAGAAGTGGCTGCTGCTGTTCTTCGTCTTATCGTACATCTGCACCAGTTCGCTCGGGTTCACAGTCATACCGTGGACATTGATCGGGGAACTGTTGCCCGTGTCCGTACGTGGTATCGGCGGGGGCCTCTTGGTTTCTCTCGCTTACATAATGATGTTTGCTGTTATAAAGAGCTATCCGTACGTTGTGAAAAGCATGAGCATCGAGGGCATCTTTTTCTTTTTTAGCTTCAGCTCTCTCGCTGGTACAGCTTTTGTATACTTTTTCCTGCCCGAAACTCTGGGCAAGTCGCTTTCCGACATCGAGAGATTCTTCTCCTCCGCGGGAGGGGGGAGGACGCGCGATGTTAACTCTAGAAATCCCTGATTTTGCCGCTTTCACTTTGGTTTTACTTGTGTGCGTGCTGCATGGCGTAGTATTTGCAAAGGGGACTGTCGGGGGGGAGGTGAGGCGGTTAATAACATGTACAGGAGACATTTGAATGTCTCGATCTTGACAATAATAAATTGGAAGAAATGTAATTGGTAGAATAATGTTGCATTTAGAACATTGTAATTGCTCTCCCTTATGCTGGCAAGTATCGGTAATTTATTTATGGAGATGTTTCAACGCTATCGGATGTCCCGTTAACGATAGATTCTTCGGCCGAACCAGGTATCGAGTTTTCGTCGATCAAAATCTCGTATATTGATTATACGAATAATTTTCAAATTACGAACAATCGAGGAAGAGTCTTTCGCAAGTTAAATCTGAAAGAGACAAATGGGTAACAACGAAGTTGCGTTCTTTTACAGACTTCAGAGGGAATTTAATTCGAATTTTAGACTTGGTGAAAAAAATACAAAACGTAAGAAAATTGCAACAAATAATGATCCACCTCGACATTTCGGCTGAGGAAAACTCGACTTCGGATTAGAGGCGTTCAGCCGAAGAATCCGCCATTGAAAAACAACCCAATAGTCCTGGGACACACTCTCTCTCTAGTTACAGTACTTTCGTTTTAACGCGTTCACTGTTGCATAGAATTAGCTGTAAGTGCAAACTTAGCTTACACGTACATACATTTAGAAGGCTCTTTTATCTTAAAATGTAAAAAGTATTGACAAAATTTCTCGTTTATCTCTACAATACAAGAGAACTTGGCAAAACGTTAGCGACGCGCCGGCAGCTCGTCGACAGACGCGAGCAGACGAATCGCTGCAGATTGTCGTCAATCTACATGCAAAGCGCTTTCGTAACCGTTGGCTTATTTATGTATCGTTGAAACGATTACGAAGTGGCTGATTCCGCGCGATTTCCGCGGTGAGGCCGCCGCTACGGTTTGCCGGCGGCAAGCGGTCGATTCTGTCTGATCTTACGATATAGCGAAAATGCTAAAAGTGAGCGACTTTGGCTCTAAGAGCAGGGCGGTTAGAAAGAGGCCAAAAGCTATCACTTTTAGCATTTTCAGTGTAGCGTAAGATACAGGGCATCAATACTGTATCTTACGATATAGTGAAATTGCAAAAAGTAAACGGCTTTGTCTCTTTCTAAGGGGACGGTTAGAAATAGACAAAGCATTCGCTTTTAGCATATTCGCCATAGCGCGAGATGATAAATGCTGAAAGTGAGCGGCTTCGTCTCTTTCGAAGGGGACGGTTAGAAAGAGACGTGGCCATTCACTTTTAGCATTTTCTCACTACGGTGTAAGGTACAGAATTGACCCCCGGGGCATCATCAATCTGTGTCTCACGATGTAGCGAAGACGCTAAAAATGAGCGGCTTTATCTCTTTTCCAAGGGGACAGTTAGAAAGAGACGGAGCTACTCGCTTTTGGCATTTTCACTATACGTGTAAAGCTCGCTGCAGACGATGCTATTTTTCCTGCTGGATTGCTTGCGATTTAGTAAATTACTAGAAATCCTGAGTGCTGAGTGGTGCAATGATAGTAATTTATTAGATTGCAAGCAATCCAACAGGAAAAATAGCATCGTCTGCAGCGGGCTTAAGACACAGAGAATTGACCCCCAGATTTTGGCCGGTATTCGTAGTCGGTTCTTATTTCAATGTCAACCTAAGCGTTGTCTTAAAGAGGCTAATACGGCTCTGCGATTGGTAAAAAAAACAAACATTAGGAGTATACTTAAGATGATCTTAAATATAAGAACGGACTATGAACACCGGGCCTGTGTCTCGCGTCGCGAGAGCTCCGCTGTCGCCTGGGTTGATGTCACCCACCCGGATTCTGCGGAGTCAAAAAAGAGGGAGAGAAGGAGAGCGACAGACACAGACATGCGTACATTTAATTGTACAACCGGTTGGAGCAGTTCCATTACCGGGCACTGATACACACTTCAATTTTTCCTGGCTCTCTCTTTCTCTTTCTTTCTTTCTCTCTCTCGTCCTTTTTCCCAACGTTCGTAACGAGCGAGCGTATCCGGCTCGCATTGCGTTGCACGTCCACGGCATACGTGGCGTTTACCACCGCGCGTTAGCGCGAACGTTTTCCCGAATGTATGTACGCGCGAGGCGGGTCGCGGCGACCACGTTCTCCACGCTGAGACCTTGATTCACCTGTTGCAGACGCGCACGTGGTATGAGCGAGGCAGACACGGCGGCCGACGGCACGCGCATCCGACAAGTGTTTTCGCCCCCGCCATAACCTCCGACGCAGCTGGCCGATTGTCCCCTGCCGACGACAACCGCGCGGAACAGCTGGCATGCCGATTGTACGGTAGCCGGCCCGTCAGGATGCTACGTTCTGACGGCGCGCCCGACGGTGTACTCCTGAAAAGATGCTGCCCGCCCGCCGCAGGTCTCTGGTGAAGCTGTCACTTTGCGCGCTGTACATAGTCGGCATTCTGATCGTCGCCAGGCAGATCTTTCGCGCCAATGACAGCCCCAGGGCCTACAGAGAGCGGCCGCCGAGCCCGAGGGACGGCAACAGCTCGCCGCGGCAGAAGGACGTGGACGTCGCGTTACGGAGATTACAGGTGGAGAGGTAAATCTGTCTGTTACTCTCGTCGACTGCGGTTTGTCCTACACGAATCTTACGTCAATTGCCGGCCTCTTGGTGGAAATAATACTTGAGTCGGGAAACTTATAGTCGACCCAGCTGGCGGGCTATTTTGTTGGTTTATCGCTGCCCGAGCACTCGAGCCCGGCAACCACAGTGCTCGCACGTATGCGTATATTTTATAATTCGACTCTGTCTTATTCGACGACGATGACTGGCTTGGTACCACTTGAAAAGGACCCCCCCAAAAATAGGGTCGAAACGTTGTGTAATAAACTAATAAAGTAACTAGCCAGTTGGGTTGACGACAAGTTTCCCGTCTAAATTTTTAATCATTACCGGTGGCAATAAGCAAACTCGCCTTTCGTTAAGATAATACGCCGGGGGTTGTATTCTGTGCCACCTACCGAGAACTGTCAGTGTCGCAGGGCTGGTCATTTATCCGTAAACTACGATAGTCTACGTCTACGACCGGAGTCTTCATAGTCTACGTGTAAATAATGTAAACGTGTCGTCTATAGGCTCGTTCGCGTTGCTTAAAATCCCTGCACTTTAAGGAGAGATAAATACACATTGGCGTTGGAGAGAAGGGAAACCAAGTTTTTCAAGTGCAACAAGTGCGAGTAACGCGAGAACAAACCTTATGTCAATGATGAGTAATCTGTGGAAGGTGGTTTGTCCAAGTGGAAGACTTCCTTTATATTTCATTCTTCGTGTAGTTTACAATATTTATGTTGCATGCTTTAAACACAATTTTTTATTATGCCATTATTGCGCGTACACATATGTATATGCATGTAACTTGGCAATTTTTAACGTTATTTTACACAGTTTACATTGTCTACATGAAAAAAATTCACTCAAGCAATGTCATGTAACTTAGAAATTTATGATACAAATCTTGTAAAGTTGTCGCTCACGTACGGTGAGAAAGCCTGTACATCAGTAACGACCCCGACAGTTCTCGATAAGCGTGTACAGAATTGAGCCCTGGGCTGATACAATACTAAATGATATTATCATACTAATACGATGTCAGACCGTAGTAATATTTTAGGTACGAGCAGCAGATATCCAAGTTTGAGCGCGACGTTGTACTCGGGCTCGGGGACGATGGAGAGGCCGCTTATCTGTACGGAAGGGACAAGGTTCTAGGCGAGGCGGCACTCGCGAAGAAAGCGTTGAACGTTGTCCTCTCGAATAAGATATCGTTGACCAGAAAATTACCAGATGTACGCAACCCGCTGTAAGATTTTAATACGCATAGCATTTGAAGAGATATCAGTTTCATACAAGTGCAATACACATATGTAGACTATCCCTTTCTCTCGTGTATCTCTAAACGTGATCTTTCCTGATTCTAGGTGCGCAAATGTTACGTACGACAGATTTTTACCGAGCGCTAGTATAATAATTATTTTTTATAACGAACCCTGGAGCGTTCTGTTACGCACGGTGCACAGTGTCTTGAAGGGTTCTCCGCCAAGTCTGTTAAAAGAGATTATCTTAGTAGACGATCACAGCGAGGAAGGTATTAAAATTAATGTAATTAATATGTATATCGACATACGGGTTTCTCAGATGTCTTTATGCCACTAAAATTGTGTAGTACACCTTATTCTAAGTCTAGCAATGCTATTAAATACTCTTTTTACAAAATAATCGTTACGCAAGAGAAAATAACGCATAAAAGTGATATAATCATTTAATTGGCATTTCATTGCAATGTGTTAAATAATTGATGTAAGACGTATTTTCTGATTGTATGTTAATTTGTAGACGAACTTCAGGGACAATTAGATTATTATCTCTCGACGCGTTTACCTACCAAAGTAAAGCTAATGAGATTACCATATAGACAAGGATTGATACGTGCTCGTCTGCACGGGGCTAGAAATGCTCTAGGTGATGTTCTCGTCTTCCTGGACGCACATTGTGAAGTTATTAAAGACTGGTACTTAAGTTGTTAAAGATCTGATATCAATTTTAATTAGAAGATACTATTTTTTTTACCTGAGATTTTCTGTATCCTAAATATTGAAATAACTTTGAAGAGAACGACAATTTTATTAATACATGCATTTTAACGTAATGCAGGTTGCAACCTCTGCTACAGCGAATAAAGGATAATAAAAGTGCTGTACTAATGCCAATAATCGATAACATTTCCGAGGAGACACTAGAATACTTCCACGATAACGAAGCGTTTTTCTTTCAAGTTGGTGGTTTTACATGGTCGGGGCATTTCACGTGGATAAATATTCAGAAACACGAGATTGAGTCGCGTCCGTCTCCTATATCACCAACTAGGTCTCCTACCATGGCAGGCGGTCTATTTGCTATTGATAAAAGATATTTTTGGGAACTCGGTAGCTATGATGACAAGATGGATGGTTGGGGAGGTGAAAACTTGGAGATATCCTTCCGAGTGAGTAGAATCTTTTCAAGTACGTTTAGTAAAGTTATGACACAGGTTTATAACAAGCATGTATAGAAGAAAGTTCTCTATTATGAGATAGGATTCTAATACGAGATAGCAGGTTTGCAATGTCCAAATTCAATTACAAATCTTTTTTCGCAACAATTACACGATTCAACAATCAATTTTCCACTAAACAGATTTCACTCCAAGGGCAATAAATTCATGGTGGAACCAACAGATAACGCCTATTAATTTAGCAGAATCTCCACTATTTCATATTAAGAGCCTATCTCATAATAGGGGACTTTCCTCTACTTAAAAACTTTACATTGATTAAATGATTTTTTTTTATAAGTTAATATTCTTCGACAGATTTGGCAATGCGGCGGCACGTTGGAGATCATTCCTTGCTCTCGCGTTGGCCACATATTCCGGAACTTTCATCCGTACAAATTTCCAAACGATAAAGATACTCACGGGATAAATACTGCTCGTTTAGCATTTGTATGGATGGACGAATACAAAAGATTATTTCTACTTCATCGCAGCGAATTCAAGGTAAGATGCTGTGTGATCATGAGATCCTTTTGTATTTGTGCATTTGATAAATAACACCCGCAGAACAATTCGAAGCTCATCGGTGACATAAGCAAACGTTTGGAGTTGAGACGAAAGCTCAGATGTAAAAGTTTCAAATGGTATCTCAACAACATTTACCCGGAAAAATTCATCCCCGATGAAAATGCGATAGCTTACGGCCGTATCAGATTGCGCAATAGACGACTATGTTTAGATAATCTGCAACATGAGGAGGACAAACCGTACAATTTAGGTTTATATAATTGTCACACCAAATTGTATCCGAGTCAGGTATGCAAATACCGATATATAGATTACATCAATGTTGTTATTCATACTCGAGTTTAAATTTAAATATTTGTTGTCTTCGGATAATTTAGTTCTTTTCATTGAGCAAGTCTGGTGAGTTACGGAGAGAAGAAACGTGTGGGAGAATATTGGACGTCGATTCAAAACCATACGCGCAAATTCAAATGTCTGACTGCAACAGCGAAAAGGGTGGAAAGGAATGGGTGTTGACGAAGGTTGCACTAATGTCCGATATTAATGCGTGTTGTTGTATAATTCACAAGTGATTAAAAAATGTATTTTTACAGGACGGTAGGATAATACACGTCGAAACTGGCCTCTGCCTCGACGGTACTAAACTGCATAACGACGAGAACGTACAAGCGACTCGCTGTACTAATGTACCAGATCAATTCTGGAAATTTGACTTCTACTCTAATAAAATGCTATCTGCATAGCATATCGTGCATTCGTCAATTGGACGTGTACTCTGTTGGTTGTATATTGAGAAATAAAGTTTTTTATCCTTTTTGCAAAAACATTCGAATTGTTAGCAAAGAGGTAGTTGTTATATTTGTTGTCAGAGAATTTTTTCACAATACTACTATATATTAATAAAATTCGTATGGCACAAATGTGATAAACACAAATGTGAAAGAATAAAGGACTAAGGCCGATATTCATAATCCGTTCTTACACAGGGTGTCTGATAAGTTTGTTCTCAACCGAAATATGTAGATAGATTAGGGCAAGCTGAAGAGAAAAATCAGATACCATGATGCAAAATCCACAATAGTTATTGAGTTATTAATTATTACGTCTAAGCGAATGAACGCGCGGAAACAGGCTTCCGACTGTAGGTCTTACATATAGGTCCTTCAACTCAGCCAAATTTTGGTGGTGGGGGTAGGTCGAATTTTTAAGCCACAAATCGTTCGTCTCTTGGCCACGAGAGGCGCCGCGACTCTGTAGGCAGCGGTAGTAGGACAGAGACACAGTATAGAAATCACGGTTTCTATATCTGTGTCTCTGTCCCACCACCGCTGCCCACAGAATCGCAGCGCCTCTCGTGGCCAAGAGACGAACGATTTTTGGCTTGGAAATTCGACCTACCCCCTCCATATGAGTTGAGGGACCTGTATGTAAGACCCATGAAGAATAGAGATAAGGAGACCGAACTGACACGGAAAAATGTTCGAGAAACACGACCAAATTGGTCGCTGGACTCTAATTTACTAATGCTCCGCCACAGTATAACC